TTTAAAGAGACTCTAATATATATATATATATATATATATATATATATATATATATATATATATAATTGATTTTTTTTTTTACAGAGAGGAAGGGAGAGAGATAGAGAGCTAGAAACGTCGATGAGAGAGAAACATCGACCAGCTGCCTCTTGCACACCCCCTACTGGGGATGTGCCCGCAACCAAGGTACATGCCCTTGACCATACATGTCCCGAAACCCGGGACCTTTCAGTCCTCAGCCGGACGCTCTATCCACTGAGCCAAAACAGTTTCGGCTCAGGTCCTGATACATTTTAAATACAAGAATTTTGGAAGAAATGGCTTTTGCCTTTTTTGGGGGTCTATTTAACTGTCTGTCTTACTGATTTGTATATGCATTTATATAAGCTCTTTATCACTTTATACATATTTTACATTTTCTTCCCTTATTTGCTGGCTTGACTTTTCATCTCTTAATGGTGTCTTTTGTTGCAGAGATGAGTTTTTATAGGTGACACAGTTTTTGGTGGCAAAGTTACTTAATAATGGAGAAAATTTCAAACCCTCTACTGCATTCAAAAAGCATCTCACTCATTTTCAAAACATCACTTTTACTTTGAGACCATAGGTTAAATATATACATTAAAACGTTTTTGTAGTTAGTATATTGATGAGAGCCACTTGTTAACACTGCAAAGTGTTAACACTTGACTTCTTTAAAAAAAAAACTCTAAGTCAGGACTTTGTCACGAGACATCAGGAAAGAAGTGATTTTTTTTTTTTTTAAAGAAGTGATTTTCTTGATCATTCTCTTATCTCTTTACAAAGCAGTATAAATATTTAAAACATTTAGATATTAGATTTTTTAAATAAAAATTAACTACATTGCTGACCTCCTGTAATATAAAAACTGCAATATTTTGAAATATGTTGAAAATAAAGGAAGGAGAGGAAGCACATGTACCCTCCAAATTGTGAAACTTCCATTCTTGCCCAGGGAAGCCAGGATAGGTAACCATCTGTGGTGCAACCTGAGACTTGGTGTTAACCCCTACACAGAATGTTGGCAAAGGTCCCTTTATTCCATTTTTTACCATAAAAATAGACGTATAAGCTCCCATATTTTCTACTTTTCTTTCTTTCTTTCTTTCTTTCTTTCTTTCTTTCTTTCTTTCTTTCTTTCTTTCTTTCTTTCCTTTTTTTCTCCCTTCCTTCTTTCCTTCCTTCCTTCCTTCCTTCTTTCCTTCCTTCCTTCCTTCCTTCCTTCCTTCCTTCCTTCCTTCCTTCCTTCCTTCCTTCCTTCCTTCCTTCCTTCCTTTCTTTCTTTCTTTCTTTCTTTCTTTCTTTCTTTCTTTCCTTTTTTTCCTTTTATTCTCCCTTCCTTCCTTCCTTCCTTCCTTCCTTCCTTCCTTCCTTCCTTCCTTCCTTCCTTCCTTCCTTCCTTCCTTCCTTTCTTTCTTTCTTTCTTTCTTTCTTTCTTTCTTTCTTTCTTTCTTTCTTTCTTTCTTTCTTTCTCCTCTTTAGCTCAGTGGGGTGGCTCATTTGGTTGGAACATCATCGCTTTAACCAAAAAGGTTGTTGTTCGATTCCAGATCAGGGCACATATCTATGTTACAGATTTGATCCCCAGCTGATTACCTTTATGGAGAGGAATTGGTCATCACAATATTTATCATACAAGAGGCTTAAAAATATCAATCATTCCAAGATAAGAAAAAGCTAAAGTAGTTCATCACCACCAAACCAGTATTATATGAAGTGTTAAAGGGGCTTCTTTAAGAAGAAAAAGAAGAAGAAGAAGAAGAAGAAGAAGAAGAAGAAGAAGAAGAAGAAAAAGGATAAAAATATAAATAATAAAATGGCATTAAATGCATATCTATCAGCAATTGAATCTTAAAATAAAAGAACAAACAAAACAGAAACAGACTCATAGGTACAGAGAACATACTTTTAAAAATTTTAATTCTTTATTGTTGAAAGTATGACATATGTCTTTTTCCACCCTCAGCACATGCCCTCACCCCCCTACTGTCTGTGTCCATTGGTTATGTATATATGAACACATAAAAGTCCTTTGGTTGATCTTTTACCCCCACCCAATACAGAGAACATTTTGATGATTATCAGATGGGAAGGGATTTGGGGAGGTGAAAAAGGTGAAGGGATTAAGAAGTACAAATTGGTAAGTACAGCATAGTCTTGGGGACATAAAATGCAGCATAGGGAATATGGTCAATAATCCTATATCTTGGTATAATAAAAGCCTAATATGCAAAGTGTCCCCTTGGGCCATCATCCTAGTGGGAAACCGGGAGTTCAACCGCTTGCTATGATGTGCGTTGACCACCAGGGGGTGGCGTGGAACATGGCAGGCGGCAGTGGAGGTGCTGCCAGCCCTGATGGGTCCCTAGCAGAGTGGGATGGTGGCAGGATGGTGGAGCAGGTAGGAAGCAGCACAGGCCAAAGTGGAGTGCGAGGCAGGACTGCAGGGGCTGGGAGGCTGGGGGTGCAAACTGGGGCCCCATCCCCTTAGGCCACCCTGAGGGACCCCATCCATGCATGAATTTGTTCACTGGGCCTCTAATATTCTAATAACTATTAGAGGCCTGGTACATGAAATTTGTGCACAGGGGGAGGGTGTGTCCCTCAGTCCAACCTGCACCCTCTCCAATCTGGGACCCTTTGAGGGATGTCCAACTGGTAGGATCAGGCCTAAATGGGCAGTTGGACATCCCTCTCACAATCCAGACTACTGGATCCCAACTGCTCACCTGCCTGCCTTCCTGATTGCCCCTAACACTTCTGCCTGCCAGCCTGATCACCCCTAACCACTTCCCTGCCAGCCTGATTGATGCCTAACTGCTCCCCTGCCAGCCTGTTTGCCCCTAACTTCCCTCCCCTGCAGGCCTGGTCACCCTAACTGCTCTCTTCTGCTGGCCTGGTTTCCCCCCACCCCCAACTGCTCTCCTCTGCAGGCCTAGGCCCCCTCCCCCCTAACTGCCCTTCCCTCTAGGCCTGGTCGCCCCCAACTTCCCTCCTCTGCCAGCCTGGTCACCACTAACTGCCCTCCCCTGCAGGCTTAATTGCCCCAAACTGCCCTCCCCTGCAGGCCTGGGTCCCCCTGACTGCCCTCCCTTGCAGATCTGGTCCCTCCCAACTGCCCTCCCCTGCTGGCCATCTTGTGGGGGCCATCTTGTGTCCACATGGGGGCAGTCATCTTTAACCACATAGGGGCAGACATCTTGTATGTTCGAGTGATGGTCAATTTGCATGTTATTCTTTTATTAAGTAGGATATATGGTGTCAGATGGGTATGAGATTTATGGAGATGATCATTTAGTAAGTTACATAATGTCTACTCACTAGGGTGTACACCTGAAACTAATAATATTGTATGTTAAGTATAATTGAAACATAAAAAATTATTTTTAAAAGTACTAATAAGCTCTAGCTGGTTTGGCTCAGTGGATTGAGCTTTGGCCTGCAGACTAAAGGGTCACAGGTTTGATTCCAGTCAAGGGTGCAGGCTCGATCCCCAGTGGGGGCGTGCAGGGGGCAGCAGATCAATAATTCTCTCTCATCATTGATGTTTCTATCTCTTTCCTCCCTTCCTCTCTGAAATCAATAAAAAAATATTAAAAAAATACTAACAATACATTTTTTTTCATAAACAAAAGAAGCTACTTGTTTCTGATGGAGTCTGAGCATTTTGCATAACTCTTGCCTACAATGCTCTCATTGTGGAGACTAAAAAGGAGGTAACAGCCAAAACCGGTTTGGCTCAGTGGATGGAGCGTCGGCCTGTGGATTGAGAGGTCCCAGGTTCAATTCCGGTCAGGGGCATGTGCCTTGGTTGTGGGCACATCCTCATGGGGGGTGTCAGAGGCAGCTGATCGATGTTTCTGACTTTCTATCCCTCTCTCTTCCTCTCTGTAAAAAATCAATATAATCTATTTTTTTAAAAAGAAGTAAGAAACAGATTGAAACTGGAAATGTTAACCATAATTTTGATCAATGTAACTTTCTGTTGTTTGCTTTTCAATCAACTGAATGCATTTCAACGATTACAAAAATTTAGAAGGCAGGTCTCTTCCAATGCTCTAGGTCCTAAGCAGATACTAAGGTTTCAATAAATATTTTATTTGATTACCTTGATTCTAGCCTAAGGAAAAAATGGGAGAGGTGAGTTTCTACGATGCAGTTGTGGAAAAGGAAATACAATTATTTTCAGGTCAGCTAGGTCCTGAGAAGTTTGGAGAAGAAGGGGAAAACAGTGTTGAATTTAGTCGTCTAATAATATTCCTCTGCACAAGGTCAGATACCTGAGGGCTCTTCCGTGGCTACCCTGAACGCAGCCTCTGTAATCATTCAAGCAAGACCTGCCCGTGGTCCTAGTGCTGTGCATGGCTACTGTCCCTGCACCGCTAACAAATTGGAAGATGAGCCGAAACCAGTTTGGCTCAGTGGATACAGCGTCAGCCTGTGGACTGAAGGGTCCAAGGTTCGATTGCGGTCACGGGCATGCACCTTGGTTGCGGGCACATCCCCAGTGTGGGGTGTGCAAGAGGCAGCTGGTCGATGTTTCTCTCTCATGGATGTTTCTAGTTCTCTATCTCTCTCTCTTCCTCTCTGTAAAACAACAACAACAACAATAAAATATATAAAACAAAACAAAACAAAATAACAAAACAAATTTGGAGGTGAGAACAGGCCTGGGTCGCCCTCCTCACCTGGGCTCCAGGCGCCGTGGCCACGCCCCCTGGGCGGGACGGGCACCCGAAGCCCCGCCCCTCCCCGCCTCTCCCCGCGACACCCGAGGCGCCTGCGGCGGCCGCGGAGCCACCGGAAGGGGCCTGGGCGGCTGCGGGAAGTGGCCGGTACCGGGGGCGGGGATCCCGAGGATTGCTCCGGAGGATTGCGGTGCCGAGCGGTTTCCCGGCCTTCGGGACCCCACACCCGCCCTGTCCGAGGCCCGGGGCGTGAGGCAGGCAGGGGCTTGCGGCGGGGCGGCTGCAGGCCCCATGGCCGCGCTGGCGGGGCCCGTGGTGAAGGCCTTGGAGGTGAGGGCGGCGCTGCCGGGAGGGGAGGGGCGCGGGGCCTCCGGCGCCTGGACTCCGCTCGGCTCCCGGGCGCCGGGCCGGGCGCCGCCGCGGCCTGTGCGGAGGGCGGGGCGGCGGCGCGCGGGCGCGGACGGGCCTCGGCCGCGCTCGGTGCTCCGGCCGCTGCAGGGGTGACCTGGGGGCCGCCGGGGGGTGGGGGCAGTCGGCGGAGGACGCGAGCCAGTCGTGCATTTGGGGAAGGGACCCCAGGGGGCGCCCCCCACCCCCGCCCCGGGAAGCGGGAGGAGAGCAGGGTGAGGCGAGTCCAAAAGAGGGGGCTCCGCTCCCTTCTTGCAGGTCTGCAGCCCCTCGCTGCGGGCACAGGCAGCTGAGAGCCTGCGGCGCGCTGGCTCCTGGTCGCGGGGTTCACCTTGCGGCGCAGCTGGGGTGCTGGGGCCCATCTGTGCAGTCCCAAGGCTCCTCCCCCGTCATGCATGGTTGTGAGCTAGGAAAACCTCGCTGTCATTGTCCCTGGAATTTTTTCTTCCGCTGGTATTGGATCCCATACTGTCTCAGAGGTTATTCCTTACGGTCGGCCCCTCTGCAGGTTTTGTTTGGGTTAAATGTTCAGTGTTGTTTCCCAGTCCGTGACTCTCATTACCAGCTACAAAACGCTCTTTGGCTGTTTAAAAGGGTGCGAGTTGAGCTGTTGGATGGGATTCTTTCTCGGTGTTTTTACATTCAACTTGAGTATGCTTAGGTTTACGTTTTCATGGGATCGGTATCAGGCTGGAAAATTGGGCCTTTAGTGTACATCCAGGCAGGAGCATAGGCTCTACACTGAGGATGAATTCTGCCCAAGGATTTCTCTAGACTTGCTTGCATTTTTTATTTTTTAAAAATATCTTTTATTGATTTTTTTTTACAGAGAGGAAGGGAGAGGGATAGAGAGTTAGAAAGCTCGATGTGAGAGAAACATTGGTCAGCTGCTTCCTGCACATCCCCCACTGGGGATGTGCCTGCGACCAAGGTATCGAACCTGGGACCCTTCAGTCAGTCGCTCTATCCACTGAGCCAAACCAGTCAGGGCAATGTATAGAATTTTTTAGTTTAATCATTATTTTTCTTCAAGAAATACTGAGTTCTCTACTTTCATTTCTTTTTAAAAAATACATTTTTATTGATTGCAGAGATGAAGAGGGAGAAGGAGATAGAAACATCAATGATGAAAGAAATCACTGATCCGCTGCCTCCTACCCCTTCCCCCCCGCCAACTAGGCTTCCAGCCCGGAACCTGGGCATGTGCCCTTGACCAGAATCGAACCTGGGACCCTTGGTCTCCACTGAGCCAAACCAGTTAGGGCCCTACTTTTATTTCTGATGGAGACAATTATATCATCTGGAAAGGTCTGACCAAATCAGATAATAGATTATTGGCTTTGAAGCTATACAAACAAATACTGTGAGTGAATTCATACTATTAATAGTAATATAAATAAGGGGGGAAAGTAGGACTCTTACTGAAAGCCAGTGGTAATTTTAAGAAAAAGTTGTAGAAACCATGCCAGGAACTTTATATTCTTTCACTTACTTTGGCAGGGTTGGGGGGGAGGGGGAAGACAGTACAAAGAATATTCCAGGAATAAAATATTTGATTTTCTCCTAAAGGAATAGTCTACTTCAGAATGCTTTTTGGTTTTGATCTGGATTATTACCAGTTTCCACTTTTTTTTTTTTTTTTTTTTTTTTTTTTGCCTTTTTGAGCTCTTTATAAACTACAAATAACTAAATAACACAATAGTTTAATGGCATTATATTTTAGTAAATAGTTTTTTAAAAAATATTTGAGATTCTGAGATAATTCTTGTATTGCTGTAGAATTTTTATTGACCTTTCACATACACAATCTTATTTGATTCTTATGACAATCCTCCGAGTTAGGAATGCCAAGATATAAAGTCTTTTCCCATGACAAAAGCATTTTGAAGTTGTGTAAGGATCAGAACTTCCTTTAAACCTGAAATGATCTTGCTGAATTAACATTTGATATTATTTGGAATTCAGACAGCTATCAGAGCACTGCGAATTACAGCAGATGACAAGACAGTGGACTTTTTACAAGAAAATTAAGTATATAATTGGTCAAAGATTTTTGGTGAGAAAGTAGAAATGTAGTCATTTTTGAAAAAGAAGGACTAACAGCCTTTTTTAGTGTGGTTTTTGTTTTTATTTTTTAAAAGATATTTTTATTGATTTCAGAGAGGAAGGGAGAGGGAGAGAGAGAAAGAAACATCAATGATGAGAAGAATCATTGATCAGCTGCCTCCTGCATGCCTACGACGGGATCGAGCCTACAACCTGGGCATATGCCCTTGGTTGGAATCAAACCCGTTACGCTTCAGTCTGCAGACTGATGTTCTATCCACTGAGCAAAACCAGCTAGGGCTAGTGTAGTTTTTTAAAAAAATAAAAATAAAAACGTCTACATATGATTGCAGGAGCATTTTGATAAATAGGATAGTTCCAAAGAGTCCAAGATGAGTGCAATGGTTTGTCTATTAAAAGGAGCATGAGCCTTAGCTGACTTAGCTCAGTGGAGAGAGCATCGCCCTGTGGACTGAAGGGTCCTAGGTTTGATTCTGATCAAGTGCATATGCCCGTGTTGTGGGCTCGATCCCCAGTAGGCAACTGATCAATGATTCTCTCTCATCATTGATGTTTCTATCTCTCCTCCCTTCCTCTCTGAAATAAATAAAAATATATTTTTTAAAAAGGAGCATGAATTTTGAACAAAATATCATATATATTAAGAGAACCAATATTTAAGAATCAGTGCATATGTAGCCCTAGGTGGTGTGGATCACTTGGTTAAAGTGTCCTATACACTAAAAGGTATCAGATTTCCAGCCAGGGCACATACCCAAATTGTGGGTTTGATCCTGATTGGGTGCATACAGGAGGCAACCAATTGCATCTCTCTCTCTCTCTCTCTCTCTCTCTCTCTCTCTCTCTCTCTCTATCCCCCCTCCTCTCTCTAAAAATCAATTTAAAAAATTTAAAAAGCAATGCATATGCAATTAATATATAATAAAAGGCTAGGTGGCGTCCCGTGAAGTCATCACTAGATGGCCGCCCTCATGTCATCAAAAGATGGCCATCAAAGGTGGCTGGCAGGGGAGGACAGTTGGGGGCCATCAGGCCTGCAGGGGAGGGCAACTGGGGGCGACCAGGTTGGCAAGGAAGGGCAGTTGGGGTGAGATCAGGCCGCAGGCAGGTTGAGCATTGTGCAGACAGAATTGTTTAAAATCTGCAGGTGCCTAGGTAGCCTTCATGCAGTTGAACCACTTCACAGTGGTGATGCTGGAGGAACCAGACATGACGCTCTCTAGAGCTGGTCAGATTTATCAGTATCAATAATGGGTTGATCAGTCAGGGGTCTGCAGGCCCAGGCAACAGGACAGTCCGATTCTTTATCCTATATAATAAAGAGGTAATATGCAAATTGTCCCCATGCCCTCACAAGGTGGCCGCCCCCATATCATTACAAGATGGCGCCTTGTTGTCACAAATGGCCAGCAGGGGAGGGCAGTTGAGGGTGACCAGGCCTGCAGGGGACGACAGTTGGGGGTGACCAGGCTGACAGAGGAGAGCCATTGGAGAAGATCAGGCCGGCAGGGGAGCAGTTAGGTGTCATTCAGGCTGGCAGGAGAAGCGGTTAGGGGGCTATCAAGCTGCCAGGCTGAAGTGGGTTAGGGGCAATCAGGCAGGCAGGGGAGTGGCTAGTAGCCAGCAGTTCTGGATTGTGAGAGGGATGTCCGACTGCCAGTTGAATAGACTGAACATTGGAATATGGGCCTTTTTCAATATTAAAAAGTCCATTAGATTACCAAGTATATATGCTGATGTGTAATAAATATGAATAACCCAGGTGCCTATGTTTCTACAATAACATTTGAAAATCTGTTCTTCTGTTATTAGAATGGCAGGGTCAGAGTATCGGGTTTGAGACTTGGATGTTATACTGCTAAGATATCCCCGCCTGAAAAGTAATAACTTGAGAAGCAATTTGAATCTATAGATGGGCAATTGTGTATATACATCCAGGTACAATGTGTTACTATGCATGCTTTAAACTTTTTACTTCACTATTATACAGTATATATCATTCTGCAGCTTCCTTTTTCCCTATTCAATATTATATCCTTTAGTCCATGTTGATAAAATTATCCATCAAGTTCATTCAGTAAAACTGTTGTGTAGTATTCAGTTATGGATATACCACTTATATTAATATATTCATCAAATGATATTTTAAAAACATTTTAAAACCAATAGTGAGATTATAGATTATCTAGTAAGCAAAGAGGAGAATATTTCCATTTCATTGGCTAACATTGGTTATAAAGGAAAATGTATAGTTTAAATACTTTTATTTTAAGCAAATAAAAAGTAAGAAAACTCAGAACTCATATTTAGGGATTAAAAAATAAAATAAAAAACAAGTAGGACATGTAAATTAAAGATAAAACTGTAATTAATGAAATTGGAAACAAAACAAAAATAGTGGAAAGGATAAATCCCAAAGCTGGTTCTTAGCAAAAACTAATGAATTAGATAACCTCTAAGAGAAGGGGAAAAAATTGGAGTATAAATATACAAGTTTAGGAATGAAAAAGTAAACACCTAGATATGAGTGATTAATGGGACTTTTATGCAAATTTTCTTGAGAATAATACTTGCAATGCTATGATGCCAAAATTGAAAATCAAGAGGAAAGAGATGATTTTAGAGCAAAATATAAATTAGTCGAATTGACCCAATAAGTGAAAAACTTGAACTGACTTATTCCTACTAAAGGATCAAAGAGATGATGGAAGATATGTTCTTTTTTTTTTCTTTATTGATTAAGGTATTACATATGTGTCCTTATGCCCCTATTGCGGGCACTTCCCCCCCCCCTCATGTCCTTACCCCCCTGTAGTCTGTGCCCATTGGTTAGGCTTATATGCATGCATACAAGT